CGGGGTTTTTATACAACCCCAAATGCTGAGGTCCTGCGCATGACGATGTTTGCCTGGCTTTGGACCATGCCTTGGGCAGAGGAGCGGAAAATCGAGCTCACGGAAAACCAAGGCTGGCCGATGCTTGCGTTTGCGATTCGTGCGCCAGATGACAGAGAGTAAGTCCGAGCAATGCATTCAAATCGTTCTTCCCAGGTTTCGCAGCGGGCCAGACGGGCGAGTGACCCAAAACCTTCTTTTGCTTGTGGCTATACTTGGGAGTACGTGGTGCCCATACTGTGATCTCTGACAATTTGTCATCACAAGCTTTTTAGCCAAAGCTTCGCGTCAATCCTCAACTCACATGCTGCTGAAGGTACTTTCGATACAAGCACATATTCCACAAGAAGCCCAGTGATGAGGACTTCCAACATGCTCAGCAGGTTGCTGAAGAGGCCTGGTGCGCTTAAAAGATTTCAACCTCCAGCGCAGAATGTTTAGAATGAGTGTGCTCTCGCTCAGCACTGCTCTCGTTGTGCAAGTCGCCAGCACCTTCATCGCTGTCCAGGTTCGGTGCGTGGTGTGTGTCTGGGGCCAAGCTTCAACTGAGCAGCCTTACCTCTCAGACCTTATATTGGGGTTATATTGGGAACAATGGAAAAGAAAATGGAAACTACTATATTATATAGGGGTATATATTAGGATTGTATAGGGATTATAAGGAATATATTGGGGTCCGAATGTCGAAATGCCTGCAGCCTGTGGCTTCCCACGTAAGACATTCCAAGAGTCAGCAACGACTCTCACTGCGCTGGGGCGGTTGTGGAGGCCAAAATCCTGGCATCGCTGCTGGGCAAGGCTCGGTCGTTCAGCGAGGACTTCAATCACCGCAGCGTCACAGTATGTCACACAGTGGAAAAGGAAATAGAAGCTACAATTTAGGGTGTAGAAGGATATATATATATACATATATAAGTGCATGGACGCATGACGCAAGTTTCCAGCGTCATGCTTCCAACCACACTGCTCGCAGAGCGTGTTCCACACATACGGGGGTTGCAGGCATAAACCACTCATGGCAGGGCCTAACTGATGCCCATTCGGGGTAGATTTGCAGGAATGGTATGCCACTAATGAAGGTTCCCATGTATGAATGGAGTTGACTCGAGTGATAGATTCCTAGCTCAAGGGCACTTTCACAAATCAGCCCAACAAATTGAGCGAGAGGGAAAGGCAGCCTGCAAGGTAGCACATGCTTGCAGGACGACATAGCAGATGTTCTAGAAGGCAACACCGAGTACGAGCGGACTGGCGACCAAGTCACAGAAGTTCGGCAGCATTGGTCTCATGTGGGAAGGTCAGGGGATGTCACGGAGGATAGTGCGCAGATCAATCTGAGGACCAAATGCTCAAGCACAAGCGCGGGTGCAACAAGCACTTCAAGGAGGGCCGTAGGTTTCCAATCAGGCTCCGAGAACAGGATTGAGGTCCCAGACTTTCATGGCACAATGTCGGGGCAGCAATCTAAGGGCACAAAGGGATGCTACATAAGTCTCCAGGGATTCCTGAGCTTGCGGTTTGAGAGTAATAGCATGAAGTGGCTTCAAGGAGAAACTGCCAGCTTAGTGAACTTTTTCCTGACAGGAGGGCCCATGCTGCTCTTTCAGGGGCTTGGGGATCGCGCTCGCAAGCGATGCTTTCGGGGGTTAGCAGGCTTGGATCCTAGATACGTACATGAACTGAATCGCAAACAGATCTTTTTTTTTTTTTTTTTTTGTTCGGAGGGTTTCCTTCCCAGCCATAAGCTTCCCTGTCCCCCCAAATGACACCCGTCCGCTGTGCGAGGCCGCTGTTGGCTCAAGGTCTGACCTTACATTCTGGTGAGGGTTGTTGGAAAAGCATGTCCTAGATTTGCCGTAGAAGCAGTTCATGATTCCATGTCACATGCGGCATGCCAAATCGAGTAGTGGTAGCTGCAATTGCCATGAGTTTCTATGGACTGCCCAGCCATTGTACAAAAATGTAAATTTCATACCTCAAAGGTCGGTTCTATTCTATTCAAGCAGTTGCGCCGATCGCTGCTTCTCCATGGCCTCTCCCTCCGGAGGCTCAGGAGGCCATCGCCCGAGTTTGGTGAGGCTTGAGACCAAGGCCGGGCTCAAGATGCTGGGAGGTTCTCTTAAAATCTTGGTTCTCTAATTTTGAGAAACCCCCAAATAGGGATCCTGTCCAACAGGCTGGCAGCTTTCTTGGGTTCACGGGGGGGGAGAGCTTCTATGCGGGGTCCTCGCATTGCTGGATGTACTTTCTTGAGTGCCACATTTTGTGGGAATTTCTGGGTACCTTCCACAAGGCATCCGGTGGGGTTCCAGACTAAACCATGTGTTCAAGCACAGATGCAGACTAAAGCCGGATGGCCTGAACACATGGGTCTTAGTAGTGTTTAAGCCGGAAGTGTATTTCGCCTGCAGTCTCACAAAAGTGCGTCCGTTCTCAGTTCTCTCAAGATCAGAAGATGCCATTTCATGTTTCCCTCATCTTTGAGCCGTATCCGTTCGACAGGCCGTCGAGGAGGATGCGCGGAGCAAGTCCGCTCGTCACCTCTGGCGGCAACTCTTCGAGGCGCCAAAGTTGTCATGCAGGTGAAGCGCGGCTTAGCCGCTAAGGCAGTCTAAGAGGAAAGCTCTGTAGCAGTGACATGATGTGCATGTACTCGGCCTACGATGTGCCGGGGGCCAAAGCCTTTGACTTGCTCCCTCCGATGCCCTCCAAGGAATTTCCCAAGAGATGGCATATAGTTTTGGATCTGCATGAAGACGGAACTCTTTCGAAGGAGTTCTCCGAGTGGATCCGCAGCCGGGAAGAGGAGCTCGTCTACTCAAAGCTGGAGCCCAGCCTCAACAGAGTGGATCCCTTGTTAGGAGATTTCTTTTGCGTGACTGTAGGTGTCCACTGGGAGGGATGTCAATCAGAGGGCCCGGGCATCTCTTCTTTGGGTTATATTCAGGGATTGGAAGGTCAGGGAGAGAATTGGATTTGCGACACACCGTGGATTGGAAGTTGAGATGTGCAGCTTGCAGCTTGCCGAGAGTCACGTTTTGGATGCATGATGGCTGCCATCTTGGTACGCATGCTTGCGCTGTGCCATCCTAGGACAACCAGCTCTGTGAATTTCTGCGTGGGAAATACTTCGAGGGAAAGCCTCGGAGTTTTGCGGTAAACATGATCCGCGCAGTGAAGTTTGAGGCAGCTTGGAGTAAGCGGCGGGTGGGACTGGGATGCTCGGATTGATGCTGGCTGACGGATGCAACCAACATCGCTGATTTATGCTTCTGCGACGTCCTAAGATTTCGTGCTTAGTTTTTGGTGATGCGCATTTTAAGAGGCTTTGGCTTGCCCGGCTCCATTTGTTAGCTGTTCCTGGCTTTTGTTTAAGAAGATGAAAGCCTTGAAGCAGGACTCCAAAGCCCAATTCCTTGCTGTCACTGCGGACGTGTGACGCATGTGGGTCTGCTGTCGTAGATGTGTTTTTAGTGTTCCTGCTTGTGAAATTCTGACTACGGTTGTGCTTGCTCTGCTCTAGTTTTTGTTGTCATAACTGTTTCTTCTCGAGCTTTCTCCTCATCCTTTCCTCACGATTGTCCAGGCTTTTCCTTCTGCTACTGCTGTTGCTGGGCCAAAATTGCTACAGACCGTGTTTGGGGTATTGCTGTTACGCTATGTAGGCATTTGCAAAAACGGGAGATCCCCGTATATATTTTGCTTGCAAAGGCAATATTTCTTTTTCTCGCGGGACCCCGCGTTTTGGAAGCCCCTATCTTGAAGATCTTGCATACTTACCTTCGCCGTTACAATGTTTTCAGGTGATGCTAGGTTTCCCCAATCCACCTCAACAAGCTTGTTTTATGTATTTTTGAGCCCTTAACTATAGGGACTAAAATTGTATACTCAGTGCTCAGTCCGTCGGCCTTGTCTTCCGAAAAAGACCTTGTTGTGTCAGGTTCCCACGGAGCTGGGACGCGACAGCCTCGGGCGTGCGAGGAACGTGGTGGCGCGCTACAGGGCAGAGCAGATATGCGTCAGCTTTAGGAGAACTGTCATGGACTAACGGAATTACTGTGGGGGTTTGGTTAGGACGGTTACGGGCTTTTAACAGAAACTGAAAGGCAACACTCATAGGAAAAATATATAGATCAGCTCGCCCTGCTGAAGCATGAATAACAGCTTTGCAACAGCACATATTCAGACTACCAGTGCTACTCATCAAGAGTCTGCATGTTGAGTAGGTCTTAGGTGGTTTAGGTAAGTATAGAGCCAATGATACCTGTGGCTATTGCCCAATTATGGCTTAGAACCCGGCCCTTTTATAAAGTTCTCATTGGGCTATGATCTAAGCCTCCTGGTTCTCAAGGTTGGGAATCTGGTCCATGGGTCGAGCTGGACCCCGAGAAGGCATGCTGCAAAAAGGGGTGGGGGCTGCTGAAGTAGTGCCATCCCCCATTGTAGACTTGCGGGAAATGTTAATTGGAGTGGGGAGATCAGTTCCTTGCAAGCTGTGTTTTCGAGACCTCAGCAAGGCCGAGTAGGGCAGTAATACCTAGTTCGGGGCATGATGCGACGAAAAGGACTGCTAGGGCAGGGTTGGGGAGCGTCTCAACCTTAATGCGGTGATGACCTGAAAGTTGGACTGCTACTCTTGCAGAACCTGCTGCAGGAGACCTAGATTCGAGCAACTTGCAGGCAAGAGCCAGGCCTAATCCCCAACTCTATCTGACGTTCCAGGCTCGAGCAGCAGCTCTTCAAGCGCTGGGAACAGCTGCCTTTTGCAACATGGCGATAGCTGGGTTTGTTGTATGCCTGTGTCCATGATTCTCCGAACTGTCAAGCAGCGCCGCTCCCAATAGATCATAATGTGTGTTCTTTCCTTAAGTTCTGTCTCTCCGGAACTGCATTTTTTGAACAGCTCCCAGACATGGATCCAGGTTTCGAATCAAGCACACCTGTGCCAACGACCTACAGTAAGATCACTGGCTTGAAGCTGAACCCCTCGGCACTCCAAACCCCACACTGAGGTAGCTTTGTTGGAGAATCGCTTGGCCTCGGGCCTCTGCTGCAGCTTCGGGGCTCTGCCAAAGGCTGCTCAATCAAGCAAGCAGTCAATCAGTCTGTGGCCGGTAAAGCGGGCTTATGGGGGGACTAGCCTTGCCACAGGCATGCCAGCAGCGGTGCCTTGGAGCTCAAGTTCAGCAAAGCTCTTCTCAAAGTGGGGTTTTGCTCAGCTACGTTGCCAAGCGTTACCGATTCCGACAGCACTGTTTGTCAACAGGTGGATGCGTCCGTCCAGCGAGCCTTCAGAGGTCACTTCCCCAACGTTAGCGCAGAAGACTGGCGTGGATGCAAGCCTCTGCGGCAGGATTGGTTCCCCTTGCTGCATGGTTTTGTGCAATGCGTGATAGCAGTAGCACTGGTGCAGGGGTAGCCGTTGTCAACCACTGGCGGCAGAAAATTACCTGTGAATATATGGTTCATGCTTTGTATTGCCGGTGCCCTTTGTTTGGGGTGCCTAGAATAAAGACTCTATGTAGTATACTGGGAATGCATACTTGGGCCCCCTTTTCATGGAAATCCCTCTTTCCCCTCCTGCAGGACCTGCCTGCCTTCTTAGCCCACAGACTTGGCATGGCAGGCCGGGATGTGATGGCAGTTCAGTGATATAGATAAGCAATGGAGGATACATGTAAGGAACACGTGTGAGTTTGCTAATGGGTTGGTTGCTCTGCCACCATAGGTTTCTTGGATCCTTCCTGCTTCTTCGCAAGCCTTGCTGACAGGAGGTGCAATTTGTGCGGAAGGAGGCGTGACATCAGCCATGCACCCGGCCTTGCGGCTGGTTATTTGGGACTCTCCCGCCTTCCTTCAATTAGAAATGGCAGCTGGGCCTGGCTTTGAAAATAGTTTGGCCAAGAACCAGACTTTCTGGTGCTTAGTAGGGATTAAGGGAATTTATCAATAGGTAGTGGTTATGTAGGCATTAAAATAACATGTAATTACTTAGTAAACGTGCTGGAAGCCCAGTAGCAGTCCCAATGCATCAGCTGAGGCAGGTTCAGCAGCCTTTCAGATGGACGGTTGTGTGGCCCTCCTTGGGAAAGACATTCTCGAGCTAAATCTGGACACTGTTGGCTTGTGGTTCAGAGGCCCGCGTGGGAAAGACGTGCCACTGCTGTCGCCCAGAGCGAAGTTAAGGCATGGCTTTGATGGTGCCCAAGTTTTTTGCAAAGAAACCTGGCAAGATCAGGACTGTACAAAACCTGGCTGGACGTTTGCATATTTTACTTCAAAAGGGACCTTCGGTCCAATTTGTCATAATTTGACTGCCCCCCCAAAACAAAGGCAAGAGAATAACATGGGCAAGTCCATCGCCGGCGGCGCCTCCGAGGACGAAATCTCGGACCTGGGAGCTAGGCTGCGGCAATTTGCGGACCC